TTCAACCTCCTAATTTTCCGCCTTTCAAGTGATTTTCTCGCAGAAACCTTCACGTGGTCGTACGTGAGATCTCGGTAAACTATATTTGAGTTTCTGAAGCCTCTGCATAAGCAGAAAACATCTACCTAAAATTCTCAGCTCTCTAGCTCTGTCGACTCCCGAGACAGTAATTTTTGTCGCAAAAAATTTCGCAGGGTTATACTTGGGCGAGGAACACTCTCTCAAATTTTCAGCTTCCTAGCTTTTGTGGCTCTCGAATTGAAAGTTGCGGACGAAATGCACTCGGACACATACATGCACACACACATACACACACACATACATACACACATACAAACACACGGACAAGTCCGTGACAATATACGTTTTGTGCAGCTGTTGTACAGCATAAAAAACAAAGAAATATGAAATGATTTGCTTGGAGAAGTTGTTCTTGCTTCATTCTTAACAAGTTTTGTCGATGTCACCAGTAGTTTCGAGCTCTCTTTTAGGCACCCTGTGAAGAAATGCATTATCTTCGTACTATGTTATTCCCTTAGGCGAAACCTATAGCATGAGCATATGTTGTTTGATGAGTAAATAATGCTTCTTATCGTAACATACCTGACACCTAAGACGCGGACATCATCCGGTAAATGCTTATTCAGCTCACCGGTAGCAGTTTTCAAGAAATTCTCATGATTTTCCAGGAAGAGCCGCATCGAGCACATCTGTAAAACTGTAGAAAATAAGGGGAAAAACAAGTTAATTAATAATAAACTTCACCCCTCAAAGCAGTAGTAGTGAAGAATCGGGTACTGTTTTTTCATTCTTCTACTTTGGAGAAATCGTCAGCAGTAGCCTTGAGAAATTTGCTCCAAACGGTAGCCCTTCAAAGTACAATCTCTGGCTGGAGTCTATGAGAAGCATTTGCTTCCTGACCAAAGCAAACATAACTGTCAACTTTCTCCAAGTCAAAATCGTCGCCCCAAAAATTTTCTATTAGTATTTGCCGTCCGTTCGATGCATATGCGCTATATTGCATTACATAATTAATTTAATCATAATTCCCATTAACTTCAGTTATCATAATCGTCGTATTGACAAAGTCCAATTGTGGTAATGGTAAGAAATGTTTACGACTTAGAGGACCGAAACACTTCTTACCATTACGATTTTTCTTTATTTTCATTCTGATGCAAAATACATCATAGTGGAAGGAATGAAAAAATCCTAACAAATTTTCTAATTTTCATTTCTTACCTTCTTTTTCTTTCTTCTCTTTATTTCATTCTTTCTTGTAATAACTTTCTATTTACAAAAAGTAGACGGAAACTAAGCAAGTCAATAAGCAGAAAGGAAGGAAAATAGTTGAAGCAACATGAAAATTTCAAAAGAAAAAAATCTCAAAAAACCGAACCTGACGGGCTGCCGATACACTACGATCTGTTCGAGCGGCTCGCTGGAATGAAAAACGTATTGGTGAAAAGACATCTTCTTCTGGGATATAGCCACACTGCGCCATTGCTTTGAACAGCTCACCTTCAACTGTTGGTTGATCTTTTTGTACCTGAAATATAAAAATTTATGTAACTTTGCTGTTGGATGAAGTTGCATTAGTGACGGCTACTCGTACTGACGTTCGGACCAGGCCTGAGCACAGGGTTTTTTATCTTATGGTGGATTTACGATAGCTAGTCACCCCGCCAACAGAACTCTCATTCTCCTGGCTCGAAATTCAAGCTTCTTCGAAAGCCAACTTATCAAAATTGGTGGAGGACGCCTTAATTTTTTTAACAGCAAGTTACAAATAGATAAATTTTTCCCGCAATCAACTACCTGGTTAGTATCATTGTTCCTGACCCATCTTAATCATTCTTCACCTGCTAGTTCAGGAAGTCAATTGTGCAGCTGTTGTGGTATTGGGGCAGGGAACATTCCGTTAAAATTTCAGCCTTCCAGCTTTTCTGGTTCCCGAGTTAATCGTTCTCCACCTTCGCTTATGTTCTGACCCAACAGGACTTCCCGCGGTATTTTCCCAGATGGTCCAACTCGCCCATCGAGAGGAAGCACTACGGGGCTGCAGTAGGATCATCTTAAAACAGTATCACAGGAAGTCCTGACGGATTAGAACATAAAAAAGCCACTTATCATATTCAATCACACTTACATAATCGTTAAGCGAGATACTTCCTTCCCCCTCCCCCCCCCCCCCCCCCC